TTCTAGAACCATTTTTAAAGGTATAATTACGTTAAATAAACCGGAAATTTTATCTATAACAGTTGGAATTTTAGGAAAATAACCAGCATTTTGAAGCGGTTTACTTTGTTTTTACGTTGTAAGTTGGCAAGCTTCATGACACTCGACAAACCAGGATTTCTTAAACGATCAATGACTTCCAGCTTCCATAATTGCATAATTCCGTTATTTGCAAATCCAACATCTGGAGATTGTACTGGTTCTTCTCCAACGTACAGATTAGCTTCATCGTTATTGTTGTACGAAGTAAAGGGTACGGTTGATGGGTACGTTTTTCGGCATAGATAATGGAATTGCCAAATATGGCTTTTTCATTAACATTCAAAAATTTATTACTTATTTTATACTAAATCTGTAAATCCCAAAGACTGAAGAAACTCTTTATCTTTTGGTTAGTTTTTTGGTGTTAATCAAGTTGTTACAGGAAATGGACAGGTTTTATTAGTTTGTTTCACTCTATTTATATACTGAACATTAAACACTTTCCTTTTTAAAAATATTATTCCCATTAGTCTAATTTTTTCAAATGCAGTCTTGCCGTTGCGACTTTTCCTCTAAAATTAACCAGATTTCCTTCTTAAGTACTATTTTATCAATTTATTTGTGTGTTAATTGGTAGATATACAACGTTGCTTAGTATTTCAACTGTTCGAAAACCAGGAGGTACAATAGGTGAATGACATGTACTAGTTTACCATTTCTATATGAGTTTACTACAATATTACATTCTACAGAAAATGCATTTGCTTTCGAAATTTTTGTCGTAAAGTCAGAAATGTGAGCATATACCTCTTAAGATAAATGTGCTTAACATGTTCCTTACGAACATAGCAACACAAGGGTAACTAACTGACTGTATCCACCAAGAATACTTATTATAAAAACATAAAAAATTATATAATTGAATTGATGATATTTCTAGTTGTACAAAATCCGCTACTTTGAAAAAAAATTACAATTTTTTCGGGCGGTCTTAAATCTCCAAAACTGTGCTACCCAATGAGTACCTGTACCTTATTCATTATCTAAATTTACAACTCCACATTCGTTCTCAGGCACCAACTGTGGTACTGAACCTCTCATAAACATTTCTCTAAATTTTTTTATTTTTAAAAGTTTTACATGCTTATATAGATCCAAGTTTGTCAAGGCACATTTAGGTAACCTTATTGGTCCTAAAAAAAGACCTAAAGCGCATTTGTATAGTTTCAAATATATTCCTTTTCATTCCTTGCCTAACGCTATTGCTTCTAAGAATGCATTATGGCATTGAACTTCCTTCAATTGATCTTTTGCTTCTTTCGCTGAATTGACCGCTTTTGCTATTGCTGCTGCTCCCCCACCTAGCCATCCTAAGGCTCCAAGTGCAGCAAATATCGGAATCAATGGCAGAAAACCTCCTGCCTTAGGTATCGGTATTACATGAACAGGTTTAACTCTTTTAGCCTTTAGCGATTTTGCTGCTTTCATAACAGTCTTTATATTGCATCATGGATTTTAGTTTTTATAGTGACTGCCAGACCTAGAGTTGCAGCTTTTTCACACAGAGATACGTCTGAAGAATGTAAACTCACTTTCGCTTTTTGCAGTAAGTTATTGTCAGCCTCATGTGTATCTTTTAAATCTTTGTTTTGGTCTTTTAAGTTCTTTCTCTAATTTCGTTCCAGGTCTACAGTAGTCGTATCCGGGAGAATTAGCTAACCCTTTACCGTGATGAGAATTTGGGATGTACGTTTTACCATTACAATATATAAGAACTAAAAGTTCAGATTTTCACGAAATTATATATTTTGACATGACAATTGTTTCGACAACACCGTGTCAAATATGGTAAAGCCCCGGTTTTATCGAAACAATTGTCATGTCATGTGAAAATCTGAACTTTTAGTTCTAATTTATTTTGATAAATGGATTTTCATCAAGTAAAAGCCACCTCAGTTCAGTTTTACGATTACGAGATTGTATTCGTTTGACGGGCATTTTATATTTTTGTTAGTTCTAAGCCCGGTGTGGGGTTATCCATAAAATCATTTAGTTGCAAATCAGAATTCGTATGGTAGCGCAAACAATTACTTTATCAGTTTCCAACAACGCAAGTTTTAAAAAGGTGGGGAAGCAAACGTCATAATAAATTTAATTGAACATCCTAATGGTTTGAGATTTGAATATGTGCCTATATTTTCAAGATCTTTATTTCAAGCTAAATATCAATATTTGGAAACGCTTCCATTATCAATCAAATGTATCCATTATTATGGTTTTTGCCAGTTTGGAAAACCAATTTCCTTCACCCGATAAAGCAAGTCCCACCTTAATATTCATTGTTAATGTTATAGCATGTGATAAGCAGAATATTATAAAAGAATATTTTTTATACGTAGGCGTAGAAATATAGATTGATTTTATTTACATTTAATTCTGCACAATGTTTATTTGATAATTTTATTTAAACAAGGTGATTTGAATTTGAAATGTTTATTAATTCCGATTTAACATTCGATAAATTAAAAGAAATATGTCCTTTGTGTTGACAGAGCAAGTACGACTTTTTAAGAATAGATAAAGGGAGTGAAGTCAATGAAGGAAGATATAGAAAATATATTGACATATATATTCAACTTTTTTGTTAAGGCTCATCTAATTGGTAGCTTGCGAAGGAATATATATAAAAATGTATGTATGTATGTATGTATCTTCCTTTATTGTGTATTTTGTTTACTTCAGTTCAGTACTCTAAGATAAACCCAACGCACCCATCGAATTCTATAGAATTAACCAAAAAACTTATCACAAAAACGAAAAGAGTTAAGGCGTAAATTGGAGATACTTAAACATAATGAACGTGTTAACGAAAGTATCTTTTCCCCAATTACCAAACATTAAGTTTCTTTGGCCTCTAGATGATTTGGTTCCAAAGAAATTTCTATTTTTGCAATTGGACATCAACAGCATTTCATTACGAACGACGAAAAATGTGGGTATCGAATTTCAAAAAAAGTTGCTAAGTTAAAACCTCAAAGATGAGTCATTTAAATTTATTGATGTTAATCTTTTAAAATTCGCAAAAGGGACATTGTTTCACCGAGGACACTTAAGTCTGATCCTAATAATGCCTTCGGTACACCGATGTATCCAAAATCTGATGTCCTTGCTCAACACGTTTCTGATGAAATTACAAGAGCAAATAACATGGATTTTGAAAAAAATCTCGATATAGCTGTAAAATTCAATAAAGACTATTTAGATAATTTTGATAAATTACCTAGACGATATATTGACGCCATGCTGCACGACGTCCATAATAAATTTGGTCACAGAACTGGTATAAGACATAACAGTGGAGAAGAAAAATTTTTCATTGAAAATCAAGAAGTTCATTTTGTTGGAACTGACATTATAATACTTGATCAACAATTTAAAGGAACGCCAGAAATTTATGAAATATTATTTAAAGATGTGCCAGTTTCTTATACAACCCCACATTTGGACAATTATGGTATTATATTAGAACTCACCAGCACTCACAAACGAAACGGAAGTGGCTTGGATTCATGGGAAACGAAACTGACGTGGTAAAGCCACGCTTCGCGCACGCTAGATCAGTGCGTAATTAGGTATTTTATAGACGGGAGTTGAAAAAATATTTTATCTAATATTACGAACCACCATAATACATCTTATCACAGAATTATAAAAATGAAACCATCAAAACCATCAAAAGCAACGAAAAATCTCTTCTCAAAAATATTTACACAAAGTGAAAATTGGAAGTAATATTACTAAATTTAAAATTGGAGACATTGTCAGAATAAGTAAGTACCGAGGTATTTTTGATAAAGGCTATACTCCAAACTGGTCGAATGAAATTTTTACTATAAAGAAAGTCAAGCTTACAAATCCAACAACTTATTTGCCACATGATGACAAAGGTGAAAATATTTCAGGTTGTTTTTATGATCGTGAAATACAGAAAGTAAAACATTCTGGGTTATATTTAGTTGAAAAAGTCTTGAGAAAAAAAGGAAACAAACTTTACGTTAAGTTGTTAGGTTTCAGTATTGCTGACAACAGTGCCTTTTTTGATAAGTATAAACGTTCGGATGAACATTTTCCGTTCACTTACATGACTTTGAAAAAAACAATTAATATGTTCTATTGTCAAATATAGCACCTAATTATTAATATGTCAATATTTGTTTTGTACCTGAAGGAAAGATGTTCATCCGAAGAAAGACACCTTGTATAAAAGTAAACACCAACAATAACAAAAACGTCAACTTAAGCCTCCTTTTTAACATTTTGCCAAGTATAATTATAAAATGGAGAAAATAAAAGAAATAGAAGAAGACCTCAAATGAGATGGGCGGATGATCTGACAAAGCAAGCTAGATAAAGATGGATGAACAGTGCCACAGTGGAGGGCATTTTTAGTACGAAATTTTATCGTCCTATACCGTCATACTTTACATTGATTACACAAATCCATACTTATGTTACAGCAACCACATACTGCAAACATAAAGGATTACATTTTACCACACCCATTATAATTTACTTTGAAACTTGCGGTAGAGAGCATCGAATTACAAAAAGAGTGATGCAGTGTAGTGGTACATTTTTCGGTTAATACCATCAATCTATTCATCTCCAACGGAGGAAAAAGGAAATTTTCGAGTTTCCTTTATACATTGCTATAGGACTAATACTTTGTGGCAATGTAATATACTGTGCGTGTCCCTTAATATAATATTAACATTAGTACAGACAACTTCAGTCGACCCTTTCCTTCTCGGTGGCATTTTCGGTGAGCTAATTGTGCAACAGGAAGTAAAAGTGCGGCTCATCGTCGTAGTGACGCCGTCTGATGTTAATAGATGTTTAACGCAACCTGAGCACTTTTGAGTTAAATTAGAAAATACTAGCGGCAATGTGAGTTTTAAAGTAATTTGTTTTCATTCCAGACGGAGGTGTGTTCAAGCGCTCTCACTGACGTCATCCACGCCGTCATCAACGGCACAGACGGTTGTTTATTTTGTTTCGGACACGCCGGTTTAGGTAAGCTTACGTTATAGGTAAGGAAGTCAGTTTCCGAAGTTTGGGACACTCATCACTCCATTTAGCTGAAATTTTTCCATATTCCATATTAGTACAACAAACAAACAAACAAACTTCTAATAATCTAATAAAATATATATGTAGCGATTTAAACGGAACTTTTTTTTCAGAAAATTCAAGCTATTCAACAAATTAAGGTATTTTCGAAAACTAGTCATCGAGTTTGTAGCAGTGTAGAACAAGTATTTTGTATATGTAAGTTTATGTAGGATGATCCATAAAATGAAATGATGGTTAATAACTCTGCAGGCCTAGAAGGCCCATGGCTTGTTTGACTTTTTCTCCCCATTCTTTTCTGACCTCCGCTTTTCTTCTCTAGTTGTTAATCCCTAGTTCATTAATGTCCTTCATCTCACCTTTCTTCTTTCCCTTCTATCAACGACATTATTTTTTACTTTAAAGATTATGCATCTTTTGCTCGATTTTCTCCATTGTCAATGATTCGCTTCCAAATAATACTAGATACTACAATACTATACTATTATACACTAATATACTACACTACCATACCAAACTAATACTAGGTCTCAGGCCTGACTTCACTTCACTTCTAGACAGCAATTTACTATTGGAGGTATTAGATACCAAAATATTGTGATTTAGCTCAACATAACTCAAGTTTTTTTAGTGTAAAAATAGTTTTCAATTGTTTTGCCATGACAATTAGACAAAAAAAACTCTGATTTTTCAATTATTTGCGTTTAAAATGTTCTTATTTTTTTATAGATACTAACAAGATAAAAGGGTACGGGGAGCAATAAAAAAACAATATTTGGTAATAACAGTTTTTGCTAATAAGAATAAAAGAAAACCTGAATACTTTTTAAAATGCATTAAAATTTATTATATTCTTATTTCCAATTTTTTCATTGATCCTTCAGTACCATTTATATGTACGTAGTGCTAGAAGATGCACCGCCCGCCATATGAGAAAATATATTGGTGATGCATAATGGGACGCCGTCTTTGGCATTGCAGTGAGCCCATATTAACATGACCAGTTTGCGTAGATTAGGCCGTAAAAATATATTTGTTCGGTCACCAAGGAGTTCAGATTTAAAATTTCTGGTCTTCTCAATTTGGGCGTACTTGAAGGATTTGTTACACGCTGAAGTTTATTCTTTGCAAGAGAAAGTAGAAGGAACCACATATACCTTTAGAAATAAGAGAGATTTTTATTTAACACTAAAAAACATTCAGTTTTTTTTTATTATTATAGTTTTTCATTACTATTTCTAAAATTGTTATTGTGAAATACTTTTTAAATGCAAATAAATGAAAAACCCACCTAAACAAGAATAACTTTTCTAAGAAAAATTCATTCTTTCAGATTTTCATCGTCTGTTCATCTAAATAATACGTTGAAACTAGAGTCAAAAACGTAATTGTCATGTCATAATAACCTCAAATTGACAACTGTGACATTGAATCTCCAATTTACAGATTGGCAATATATTATGAGTCACTCCGTACGTTGATCACAGCAGTAAAAAAATCAACCACTTTTTCTGAAACGTACATTCTGGTTTTGCGCTTTCTTCGGCAGTCACATTTTGCACCGCCCTTTACCGGTCCTAATTCGTCTATATTTCGGGTTTAGTCATTTTTCAGAGGCGATAAGACCCGTAATCCCTATTTAGAATAACTGCCGCGCCTATAAAGAAGGATCTCTACTTTGGGGGATTAAGGATATTTTCAGATTGTCTCCGGGGCTCCCAAACATTCTGCTGAACCTGTAAAATTTAAAATCGTAAATGGTGAGCGGGATATCTGGTTCTCGGGTTTTAAGAAAAACTCCCGTCTGAAATTTTGAATTTTGCTCTGGTAGGTCAAACGTTGCAAATTGTTTCTCATCATTTCGAGATTTGAGATAAAATATGTCTGGTATCTACTTCTTTGCATGGAGGGGTGTAGTTAATAGCCACCACACTAGCGTAGCTTTGGGTTATGATGCTGAAGTGGAGCGAAATCTGCACTCACCTAATACTGTGGCAATACAGCCAAACTAAAATTTTCCGCAGCTTAAGTGTTTATTATATTTAAAATTATATTTGTAGAAGAGGTTATAAGAAACAGTTTCTGTAGTTTTATAACAAAACCCACAAGATTTGTAAGAAATCCACATTTTAAATTTTATATTAATTCAAAACATTGGTTGCTTTAGGTATGAAACCTTTGGTGTTAGTTAATTTAGGTATTTTAAAAATGTTTTACAGCGTTGACAACTTTGATCCTTGTATAGCAAAACCCGTTATAAATCTTAAAGCACCTTATAAATACTCTGCAGCTATTATGAAATGTAAAGAGTATTATAATAAACTTATAACCGAGTAACAAACTTTTCCATGTAGAAAAAGGCGCTATATTTTTTAAATTATGATGTTTGCTTAAAGATGTCACACGCTAAGAAAAACTCGAAAGGCAAATAATTAAATATAATAACAGCTTTTATAAGAAACGCTCTAAAATCAATTACTACGCTACATAGTGAGTTTACACAAAGGAAATAAAATATATTCTAAACATGTAATATAGGGAAAGATGAATCATTTTTTATAATATATTTAGGTACTTTTATAAGATTTCGCGAACGATTGATAGGTTCTTTAGTTTTATTAATTAGGTAATTGAATTACAGGAGACTGGCCATTTAAAAACAATAAAGCAGCGAACTCATTTTTTTTTACAAAAAGATAAATCGGTCAATAAAAAAATGCTGGAAATTATTTTCGAGTTTCCGTTATCGTGAACTTTAAAACTTTGTCTCTGCGTAAATTTTAAAGCTGATTCAAATCTTTTTTGTTTAGTGATGTTTGCTCTGTCTGCAAGGAAAGTGGTGCTAGAAGCGACACGATTACGATTGCTTGCCTCGGCACCAGATAGCGTTTTCTGACAATATCGCAAAAAAAGATCTAAAGAAAGAATAATTGCAACGATATGACTTTCTTTATATTATTGAATAGGAAAACAACCTCCCAACAACCCCGTGAATAACGCATCGCAATATTTTTATCCTAACTTATTAATATGAATAAAAAACCTCTACGCACAAAAAAAAAGTTGGATTTTGGAAAAAATGTCCACTTTACCGATTGTTAATCTTTAATTATCCCAAATTTGTTAAATATAACGTTAACTTATTATTTAGAATTCCAAATGATATTTAAAATCAAAATTAATTCTTGTTATTTATTCTTATTACTTTTTTACGATGAGATAGATGAGCAACAATTTACGCGGTAGCTGACATTTTTGACATTCTTACCTTTTTTCCAATATAATCACTTAATATAAAACTAAAGTCTGGTCATCAACTTGATCACTAATTTTATTAAATATTGATTACTAATTATTGACGTAAAAAGTATTTACAAAATAATTCGTTTTTAATAACAAGATTGGCATGAAATCAAATTTTGTGCTTATCTGACCAAATGCTGCGGATCTTTCATGTCGCTATGCAACACTTGACTTGTTGAATTTCACTGCCTAGAACAAATAGATGAGTTAGAAATGAAGAAAAATGCTGATTACTTCAATGCACATTTTTTTACTTAATTCCATAATTAATTGAATTGATTACTTTTTAACAATTAGTTTGGGTTAGTCGACCAAACCTAATAACCCGTTTTAATTTAGAAATAGTAGATTATGTACCAAAGGTGCAAACAGCATTTGAGTAGCAAGTTTATTTGGCACGAGCGGAACGCAGCGGCGCAAGTGTTTAATATACAAGTGACTTAAATAGTTTTCCTTCTGCCTTCTGTAAAATGCAAAATTATACACAGATCAAGGGGGGGAGCGTCATTTTACCACGTGAGTTACGTTTCCTACGGATCCGAGCCACTTCGGACAATTCCGGGATTTTACCGCACGGGTTTGTTAGCAATCGGTTGTTTTCGGACATTTTACCGCAGGGTTTGAATTTTGACATTTGTGAATTCTGACCGTCATGTCAATGAATGTATTCGGTCGAATATTAATTACTCGCTCCACTCGTGTCCGATGGGCCTCGTTTAAATGATTCTTTGCCTATCTTCTATGCATATTTGAAAATGTTCGCCTGTCTCGCATTAAATGCATATCTGCCAACTCCTCATTAGTAAACTCAACCATTCTTTTTTAAAATTGCAATGCTCGTTTTTTTTTAAATACGAAATTAATAAAGACACGAAAAACTGAATTAAAAAAAAAAAATTAAAACCGCCGTGACAATAAAATTGATAATTCTTACAGACATAGCCTACTACAATATTAAGGCATAATTATAAAGATTTCAAAAATACACATACTTCGTAATGGTACTTCGATTTTTTGAAGTATTTTGATAAAACATATGGACAATTAGTTAATTAACAAATAATAATCATAATAATTCTCTTCATATTAACGATATTGTTATGAGCATGCAAAAAAAAAGGTTTTTATATTTAAAGCTAAAACCGTACATCGGATTGAAAAAAGTAAATAATAATTTTTATTTTAAGAGCCAACATAGACCGGTGAAATTCCGTACGCCCGCGACTGGTGTATTTAAAAAAATTGTGGTACACTGAATAATGCCTCTTGATACATAGTACATGTGTGCTAAATTTCATTAAAACATCTCAAATGGTATTACAGATATTAAATTTATTTTATTTATTTAACTCAAAAGTTAACACGTTTAGGATTTATGTGTTCACATGAAGTTTTGTTGTCAGAATAGACCAAAAAATCGCGCCCCTAATTATAGACATTCAATTAAAAAACAACCTGTATTATAAAATCATATAGCGTCTTATTTATTTTTACAAGGTTTTTTTCGCTGAGCACTCACTTTATGTAAGATTAATATTGGAATTTTTATATAGAAACCGAGTTTTAAAATTCAGCAGATAGCAGCTCTCTGGTGGCCATTCCAAAAATAATTTCCAGCATTTTAACAGCTTTTTTTTTCAAAGTTACTGGGACACCCGGTACATATTTTTTCTCCGACAATATTCGGCCCAAAAGTTATGAAACTACAATGTAGCGAATTCAAGGGTGAAGTATAATTTTCGTATACAAGTCCCACTTGTCATCCAAGTAAACAAACTTGCTTAACTATAATGAAGGGCGTTATGAGACTATGTTTTAATGAAAACCTTAACCCCGATGCCAAATAAATCTCGGGGACGCACTCCTACCCTGGCCCAAAACTTATCCTATTTCTAAACCCAACAATGCACGTAATAACCTATTTCCATGCAAACCGTGCCCCCCCCCCCTAAAAGATGCACACCGCTCATTCTCGAGATGATCCGAACAGAAGTGTCGTGTCGCATTATTCAGCATTATTTATAAAATGGCTTTTGTTTGCCTGCCGTATATTATAAGGAGTCAGGGACCGTCGAAAAAAAAGGCAACGTTCGGAAAAACATTTTAGAAAATCGAGTCGAAAGGGAACGGGGAGGAAATTGCCATTTGATTTAAAGGGAAATTCGATTGGTTTAATGTCTTCGATTATGTTGAGGGCGATGGGGGCGGATCCTCCATCAAATTTTCACATTTTCTACAGCTACAATTTAAAAACGTATGGAAGGAAACCCAGTACGGCGTACGTTTCATCAGAAAACAATCAGATAACAAATTACAACTTTTGTATATAATAAAATATTATACACATTAACATTAAAAAAATGTATAAGAAGAGTATTACAAGAAAATGTATAACGACCAACATTTTGCAAAGTGGGCAATTCATTACAGTTACACATTTAAAATTCAAATATAGGAAATATATCATATTTTGGTAGAATATTCAAAAGGTACAAAAGGACCTATAGAAGTAAAACAATTGACTTATACAGAATAGAAATGGGTGAAAATTTGGGAGCCATGTTTTAAATGCCACAAACTGAAACTATTGGGAAATGTATGTAAATTTATAAACCCAAGATTTTTTTTTATTAAACATAATTTCAGAAATAATTGAACATTAAAATAATCCGAATCACTGTCGCTATTCTCCGTAAGCGTAAACTGCAGAGCTCGTGACCGGAACAGATGATTGTTTGACTAAAGAAAGAACTTCATTAGTCAAACTGTTTGCAAGTGGAAGTTTTCTTAAACTAGAAATCACAGCATCAGAAGAAATGAACATGAAATATAAAAGATCTTCATTTGTGTCTCTCCGTGAAGTTTTTCTTGTATTTTGCCTAATATACCTTTACTCTTTCCGACGAGCTTCAAGTGTATCTTCACATAATCACCTTATAGGCAATATCATTGATTTTATTGATTGATTGATTATACTCTCAGAAGACTGCTGTTTCCACTTAATGTCCAACAGAAAGAGCACTTAGAATATTAACAAAGCGTTGGGATCTCTAAAAAGTGTTCTAGATGTATTGCCATGGTAAATATTCCCGCCTCCTGGTTATGGAGTATCTTCTTTTACATTTCGTCACTTTTCTATGACTGATTTTTTCCTGGTTTGCACTAATTATTTTTTTCTTCTCGTCACTGCAACTATTTTATATTCAAACGACAAGATATGCGAAGAAGGTATTCGAAGATCCCAATGTGAGCATTTAAACATTGAAGCGAGATGGGCGATGAAAAGTTTCTAAGCCTAATTTAATCTTACCTAATGTTAACAATTGCCACTGCTCTTGAAAATTATTGGAGGAATCCTCAACGAACTTCTGAGACTTCATATTAGACCGTATATATACACACCGCCCCAAGAACACCTATCTACTCTAAGCAAAACCCTTTAAATTGAACCTCGAAATCACCAATACTCGCAGACAGCCAGGACTCGAAAACTCCCAAAATGTCAAGCTCTAACTGGTTTAATAAAATCTTTACTTCATCCAAACTTTTCAAAAAGGAGCTAACGTCGATGTGACCAAGCTTTAAGTGATTAAAAAAAGCTTTCTTTTGACACGCCATTGCAAAACCATTATACTATATACTAAATTAATAATACAGCTGTTCTTCATTCTTTATGGTTATTAGGTTGCCTTCATCATCTTTACGAACTAATATTCTCCCCTCCCGCTGCCACTCATATTTGTATTTAAAGAGCTGGTTTAGTTTGGTTTGGTTAGTTCCTTAAAATCATATACTCAAACTCTGCAACTTTTACTTTAAGCATACGTCACGGTCTCTTGGGACCAGAACTTGTAGGAACCATTTTAACATTCTCAAGATCACTTGATCTAAGCGGTGTATGCAAGTAGTACAATAGGTTGGTGGTTTTGTTAATGGGTTCTTCCTTGATATCGTCCTTAGTTAATAAGCCTGTTACGGATATATTATTCTTAATTTTCATACTTTCTTTGTAATATGTTTTTAAACGTTCTAACTTCTCCCTTAAGTATTTTATTATCATTTGATACTTGTGTAACCACGTCACTCAAGGTCTTTGATTTTTTCCTCTCATTGAACTGAGGTGGCTTTTACTTGATGAAAATCTATTTATCAAAATAAATAAGAACTAAAAGCTCAGATTTTCACGAAATTATTTATTATGACATGACAATTGTTTCGACAAAACCGTGCCTTTATCAAATGTGGTGGTGTGGTGGTGTGATAAAGGCACGGTGTTGTCGAAACAATTGTCATGTCATAATATATAATTTCGTGAAAATCTGAGCTTTTAGTTCTTATTTATTTTTTTCTTCTCCTCGTCAAATTTCTCACTAATAAACTTAACTGATTTTTTAACTTTGCTTATCTCTTCCTGGAAATCACGGATGATTATTTTCAATTCAACAACCTCATTCACCGGTTCCAACAGTAGTATCGAGCGTCTTCCGGAAACTGACGCCCTGTTCACCTCTGCTTCACAGTCAGAGCAGCTCCAGGACTTTTTTAGACGTCATAAGCCTGGCGTCAACCACGAAAACTTTACCATATTTAGGGTTAAAAGTGCATTTGCAGCCACCGCAAAAAAGTTTTAAACATCATTTGCTAACAGTTTTGGAACAGACCTTGCTCTCTTCATTCGAGACCAAACAAAAATATATGTCGGCACCCTTAGATTTAAGTGGTCGATATTTTCCTATATTTCGTTTTGGGTGTTTTGAGTGTTTATTTTTGACTCACATTATTTATCGGTGTAACGTAAAGAGTTGGAACCCACTTTGGCATTTTCAAAAGTGAACGAACTAACCCTAACCCTATGTCGCCTCGCTCGCCATCAGAACCAGCCCCAGCCCGAGATTTGATTCAAATTTTATTATTTTTATTATATTTTTATTTATTTTTTTCTTACGACCTCCGACATATATGACCTCCGCAAGTTGTAAAAATATACGAAACTTGTAAAACATGTTGAATTTGGCAACGCCGAACCATACCGCTAGCTGTAGAACCATTTTTTGGAGGTCGTTTCAAATGCCAAAGTATAAGTTGCCGATAACACTAGTACTGTTTATATATGTAACTGAAAATCGTTGGTAAAATTCGCACTTTTATCCAACAACAAAACAACACGTTCGCCTTGCTAAGTTGTCAGATTAAAAAAAAAATTATTCTCAATATTTCTTAGTGCTATCATTTCTGTAATAAAATTTTTTGGAACAATAATTAGTGTGTAATATGTGTGATTTAAAAGGCTTTGTAGTTTAACTTCTGCCATTGTATCGCTTATAGTTACAGCTTCTTTCTTAGGAAGACACTTTGCTTTGTACTGTATTTTCCAGTGACCCTGTATCGTGCATCATCTGAAGTAGCTTTAAATAATGATATTGGCCAACGAACGGCTTTGCGTGTATTAAAAGAAGAAATGTATCATCAATACAAAGTTACATTACTACAGACTACCGTTTTATGAAACTATAATGGAAATGTGCAACTTAAATGCATGTTTTTCTTTATCGGCTACTGTTTGGTTAGTTTTAAACACGTTTTGCTGAAATGGTCCCGTAAATAAACGAAATTGTACTTATTGGAATACAAATGATCTCCGATCGATGAGAGAAAATCATACACATCGACAAAAAATAAATGTTTGGCAGGGCTTTTGAATAACAAAATTATTGGACCTTATTTCTTGGATTAAAATCTTACTGGAGCCAGATGTTTATAATTTCTTCAAAGGTTACAGAAAATCTCTGTACAAATAGCACTATTAAAACCGTCGTGCCGTATTTTTAACTACGATATCATTGTATATGAGCTTTAAATGACCGAAAATTTAGATTACAATTAAAAAATAAACATTTAAATAGAAATCCAACGAAATTGCGATGCAAATATAGGTGTTTATTCTAACTTTCTAAAGTTATGAAGGATATTTCGCAAATAAAACAAAAACCATTGTTCCTTATTTTGGTTAAAATATACACCTTATAATAACTTTAAGTGCACCATTCAAACTTACATTATTTTACAAAGTTCGTTTGGATTTATGCAATAAACAATGTAAAAGTACTATGTGATTTTAAATATAAGTAAATAAAATAAAATAAATGAGACATTTAAATTAAAGAACTAGAAAAATTTCACTACCAGCTAAGTAATTTTTACTGAACTAATGTTGTTATTCTGACCAACTTTTTTTCGGCATAGTGTACTACCTTGTATATATTTCAACGTATTTAAATTTAATTTTTGTATTTATGTTTCAGGTAAATCGTATACTATGTTAGGAACGCCAGACAGTGCCAATACGCTGGGGGTGATCCCGTGCGCAATCTCCTGGTTATTTAAGGGTATAAACGAACAAAAACAGAAGACTGGTGCTAGATTTTCCGTCAGGGTGTCCGCGGTCGAGGTGTCCGGCCCCACTAATCAACTTAGGGACTTACTGGCTGGATATTCGAACGGTAAGTTTCGCCGTCGACGAACATCGAGGTACGGTATTAAAAAAATTTCTTAGTACATCTCCCAAGAAAAAATGTTGGGAATCATTTACCAGTTTCTGAAATGGGCATCGGATCCCGTAATGGTTGTGTTGAATTTTAATACCCGGTTTCTATAAAAATTTCTAATTTTTTAGTAAATAGTGTTTACTCTATCTTTACAAGAAAAGTGGTGGAGATGTTTAAACATTTTCTTAAACAAATGTCTATATCTCCAAAGGATCGCTAGGAATTTTTAATAAACTTGAAGTGCGGCGCTATCGAAATTACTTACCTTGTCAACATTTACCGTTTTCTGACATAATCGCAACAAAAATCATTTTTAGATAAAGAATAAATTTAAATGATTTTTACGTTATTAAATGGTCAACGGCACAGCAAACTAATGAAAACCGCATCCTATTATCTTTATCCTTACCCAGAATATGATTAAAAGAACTTCAGGATGCAGAAACGCATTTTACGGACCATGCTGTTTATCCGTGGAATTTTTCATGTCGAGACCTATTTCTACAACACTCTTTATTGACACTTCCTAGTATGTACACACTAAATTGTGCCACTTATGTAAAAAGTAACTCTAATCTTTATATGCTCTCAAAACTCAAATTTTCAATACAATTTAAGACCGTATCTTAACATACAAATGCTGTTTTGACCTTAACAATTTATAATAAATTGCCTATCGAACTTAAGGAGATAGCTAGTCAAACAAAATTAAAATACACACTTAAAAACAAATTGCTACGCCACGCCTATTACAATATTATTATTATGAAATAATTAATTATACTAAAATAATTTTATATTATTTATGGACTTATGGAAATACAGCTATGTTTAATGCTCATGTTGTGGAAAACATTTTTGGCAAAAAAGCCACTTTTGGGGTAGTAATTAATGTCCGGTTAAATAAAAATAAAATAAATAAAATAAAAAATAAAATAAAATTTTGCTTTTTTCTTCTACTTTTTCAACCCTCAATGAGCATGGTTCGCACAAAATTACCCAGCAGTTATTAATAATAATAATAATAATACTAATAATAAGTTTATTTATCAATCAATATCAGTCACAATATTGCGACTACAATATAACATTATTCATACAAATTCCCGTAAATATATAACCAAAAAAAAATAAACGTTAAAAAAATAAATAAAACAAAAGACTATTTAGTAGAAGTGGGAGTAAAATAATTACGATTATTTGATAAATAGACTAAAATAACACCAAAGAAATACTTCTTGTCGGTGAGAATTAAACATATAAGTCTTATATAATTATGGAAAGTAAAAAGTGTGAATGCAAGATAACGAATACCTACCTTAATTATCCATGAAATGAAATATGGAAAAATCAATACAAATTGGAAAAGTCAAAAGGGTAATCGAACGGTAACAAATTGAATGAAAACTAAAATGAAAGTGAAACAGAAGACGTAGTTTAATAAGCTAGCGAAGAAGTGATAAAATTATATTGTAATAACAAGCTTGTTTTGGAATGTAATTGTATTAAATTTATTAGCCATTGGTTTGTCATGATCAGGTACAGTTTAGTCAAGTTCTGGATATGTTTTCTTGGTTAAATGTTTTTATCATTGTTGGGGATAGTTTGACACATTCGAAAATTTATTTTTTTTGTCGTACTTTTTAAGTTAACCATATTTTTTCATTAGCAGTGAATGAATTATCGATCTGTCTTGATTTGTCAGCCATTTGTTTAGTTTAGATTTAAACAAAGTTAAAGAATTTATATTTTTGATTTCAATCGGTAGCTCACTGTGGATATTTGGGCGTAAGTACAAAAGGAATCTTTGTCCTAGTGAGGTGTTGGTTTGGGAAAGGTATCCTGTTACTACTTTGTGCCTGGTGTTATGATTATGCTTTATGGTTTGTAACGTGTAAGTTAATATTACTACATTTTGATATTCTTGCCTTTATAAGTCAACTAACCAAAACTAAAAAAAATTATTAACCAGTTTTATTAATGATTGAATGGAACTGAATGCGTTTAAATAAGAAATGTTTGATGCAATAAACATTTAACAAAGTTGGTGTCAATCTCAATGATTATAAACGTTTTTATTATTAATAATATTATTATTTTACCAATTAAATATGTGATTAGGTAATTTATTTTAGTGGGAAAATAAGTCGTAATACTAAATATTTAAAAACGACTAAGCATGTCAAAACCTAATGACACCTAGACTTTAACATAATACCATTAAACATCATTCGCCATCCTAAATCATAAATTAGGGGATTTCAGAAACTCGAAAATAATTTCCAGCATTTTTTCTTTCAAATTTCTAGGACCATCGGTTTTCCTAATATCGTATCTCGTTGCCCTTTCAACAACCGGCATTAAATTTCGGAAAAGTATTTCCGGTTCTTTTTATTATTCGCTTATTTGTTTAATACGGAATCGATTGCCGTACAAACGTTCCCGGAAAAGTGTTACGTTGTGTCTTACACGTTGTCAATCCGTGCCATTACGCGCGTGACAGCTGCGTTTTATCGGACTACGAGACGACGCGATGAAAACTTCCTTCGGGAACGACCGACGCGTTTATGAAAAAAATTCATTTCTCGATCAAATTTGTTTTCTTTTATTTGAGAACGAGTAAATAAACAATGCCGATAAATTCTATTGAATATTGTTGTTTATAATTTCAATTTCCGACGAGTTTTACAGCAAAACTATCGGATTGACAGCTCAGATAAATTATCTGACATTTTTGAATACCATAAGCTGCTAGATGCAATAAAACACCAATTGACGCCAAAGTTACTAAATTTGGCGTAATATTTCACTTAACTATGTTATAACAAACCACTTTAAATTTTTGTATAATAATAATAAGAAACGAAACATCAAGCAGAATTCATTGGACTTGAGAAATGAAGGAATGTAGGAATGACCCTCTGACGTAATTTTCAAAGAAATACTCAAACATGACGATTACAGATAGGAAAGCAAAATACCTCACGGAAGTTGAAATAGTTACTATCAGAAGGGAGATAGAAAACGAGCTACATAACCTTGAATCCAGTCAGGAACTTCTTTCAATTGCGCGTTGTATACTTTATAATCCTAATTTCATAGTGCTTGATAAACCGGATATGCGTTTTTAAACGTCTATTGGAATACTAATTGAAACTGCTCGGGAATTCCCCTAACTTCCTAAATTTGACCGCAGTATGAGCCTTTGACTTACTTGTAAGTGAAGAATCAATGCATAACTGTTTAGTTGTACATATTAAAATGCCTTCTAGAAGAAAACATATTACACTTAACAGTGACACATAAATCCGATATATTAGAAAGACTAGTTCGTGGTGAAACTGGAAAAGTGTTGCCAAATCAGTACTTGTTTGTATGCCTGGTTCTGTAAGCAACGATCAAGGAATGTCCCCGATTTCCTAATTTTAATACTGTAGCCTACGGAAATGATAATTTTAGGGCCAGAAGAGGCTGCATTTCTAATTTCAGAAAAACACATGGTCTAAGTGCTTTAAAAGTGTGTGGTGAAAAATGGTCCAATAACCTCAAAGTCCCGTCGCCTCAATGCATTCGCAAATAAGATAAAAGAATCCGGAAACCTACACAGATATGCAGAGTAAAGCGTTGCCGAACGGAATGGAAATCCCATGTAAATGTTGTACATTTTGTACATTTTGTAACAAAATTGTAATATAACTTTTTGTATGATTAACTCTTGTGCAGAGTTTAAATAAATTTTAGTACGCCAATATTCAGTTATTGAAATGAATATTATGGTAAAATTAGAAAATTCTTATTTTATTTTGACAATGACAACACGAAAATTCGTGACAGTAACAATATTTTTGTTTGTGATTATTATACATTATTAAACGTGTTTTAATTAAAGCTAATTAATATGTATTATTCAATTGTTATTCAATTGAAGAAAAAGTAACCATAATTAAGTGGTGTTATGCAGAAAACAGCCTTAGAGCAGTGTCTGAAATGTTTTCAGTTTATTTCCCTGCTAAAACTATACCTTTAATTTCAACAATTAAACGTATTATTACTATTAAAAAGACACAAATATTTTTCCTATAAATACGAAAAGCACCAAGAGCACAAAAGCGCCAAGGTGATGAATAAAAAAGAGTAACATTTTGTTCTGAAATGATGGAAAAAGCAAATAATAATATATATCAATTGAACGCACACTAGAAGAAGTTCGCGAAGATCGGGAGATCTGGTACCAGATGGATGGTTGTCCCGCCAATAATTCCCGTATGGTTAGGGAGTATTTGAGAAACACTTTTAACGGGAATATTATTGGCCTAAGGTGCCGAATCCTTTGGCCACCCAGATCACCTGATTTCTCGCTGTGAGGTCACATGGGGTCATAAAAATGTTAAATTTGCAACTAATTACAAAAAGCTCTTTCCTTAGAATGTAACAGAATTTCACAATATCAACTAAGCAATATTCGAAATGAATTTTATGATCGCTTAGAATAGTGATTAACGTTTAATGGAGGGTTGTTTGAACATTGACTTTATAAATAATGTTTCTTTTTAGCAATATTTTGCAGCAGTATTTTTATTATAATAACTAATTATTTTTAATAAAGGACTTGATGGTTAAATTTATAGTTGTTCCTTGAAGCTTCCTTGTTGCTTAAATCGTCCTTTAAATAAAGTTCATAACCGAGTATGAGTTTGATCCTAAGAAAAACATAGTAATATACCTACACATTTAGTTTGCTATGAAACCAACCTTTATTTGATATGCATTATCCAACTTTTGAAAATAGCGCCATGGAAAATATTCGTATTGACCTTTTGCAATTTTGCTATCACATTTAATACAATAACTGAGTATTGGCGTATTAAAATTTATATGTTATTATAAATATTTGACCACCTAAAAATTTACCTATACTCCGTTCGGCAATACATCACCCGGTATAATGCATCCGC